GTCAGACCCCTATGTTTAAAACATAGAGCGGCTATTTCTTGATGACCCATGATAAGCATCGAAAGTTGCATTGACCAATTGCTACTTCATAATTGCAAGCGGAGACAGTTTAGAGAGCCAATTTGCTTTATTCAGTTATTCCATCATACCCCAAAGCCAAAAAATAGTGAATCTTTGGCTCCACAGGGGAATGAAAAATTATCATATTCTAATAGACATATTTTTTCACAATAGTTTTTCCCCAATGCCAGATACTTCCACCAAAGGTAACAGAAATGATAATTATGTAGTGATTAAGACTAAAAAGATATTCAATGCATAATATTTGTTTATATATATATATATACACACACACACACATACATACATATACATATATATAGGAAAAGGACTAAACTAGGAGCTACATGTTTTTTATCCCCAAAATAGGAGTAATGCCAATATATACTACCAGAAAATACAATTGGATGCCACTTTACAGTGTAATAATGTTATAGTGCAAACTCAAATATTGGGGATAAAAACATAGAACTCTTATTTTAAATTTTTAAATATAAATGCTATGTTTTACTCCTATTTGGGGTTTTATACATACATATATATATACACACACACACACATATGTATGTGTGTGTGTGTGTTTGCCATTTTACTGCCCGCCTCTCGCCATAAAAAAGGTCCTCTCGCCCGCCCCTCGCTACTCACCATTAATAACTATGGTGGTAGGCTGTGTTCCGGCAATACTTGACCTAAGGCAGTCACCACCCATGGTGGAGGCACAACGGAACTCTTTCTTGGCATCCAAGGACAAAGATCGTTCAAAGTATTTTAGCATTAAGAACAAACATCACTTTTAATAATTTCTGTCAATAATAGTTGTTTGAAATTATAGTCGCATACTCATTGGCTCATTGCTCATCACGTTTATACCATAAACGTTTGGCCTAGAGAGCAAAAACCTCAATCTTATTGATTTTTTCAAGCATGTAATTTAAAAAGAATGTACCAGAGGTCAGTAATGAACTAATTAGTATGAAATGTTGTTAGCAACCATCAGCACGGCTGGAAATAGTCGTGGAAGACAGGTAGTACACTAAGATCAAATCAGAGTCGTGGATCTTGTGTTTTATGGTGTGATCAGAACACATTGCGAGATGGAGGCTGACAGGAACTGAAACCCCAAATCCGATCAAAAATATTCAGAGAGCCCCTTCATGAAGGCCTAAACTTGTGCCCATGGGACAAGCCCTCTGAGTGTACAAGTAACTTAATTGACTGATCACTAATCACTAATATACTTGCTGACTATAGAAATCTTCTTGACCCCCACCCCCCACGATCCACCCACCCACACCCAAGGGAGTTGGGATTATATTGGGTTTAACGTTGTGTCGGATTGGAATTCAAGAGGTGTCCAAATAGCAATGTGCATTGTGCAATGCTCCAAAAACATTGTCCACATGACGCCCCATGCCATCAACATCTAATTTTTCCGCCCAAAGCTAGGCCTTGCCGAGCATGTGGATGGTCATTAGGAAAACTGCTAACAATGTTTGTCAAGAGTTCATGTACATCTTAACAAAGACAAACCTAACTTTGAACAATGCTATAGTGGGGAAGGATGAGATATCATCCACCTCTTGGTGTTCAGTGGTTGACCAATGTCTGGTTGTGTTAGTTGGTTATGTGTTATCAGTGGTATGTGCTTGGTCCGAATTGTAATAATCGGTAGCATCATAAGAAGTCATGCATTGTAACGTGCTAACAAGAGTGGAAACTGCTTTGGTAAGGTTTGAGAAGGTGATTTTCAGTTCAGAGATCTGTTCATCAAAATCCACATGTCGTTGTGTCATGTTGCCCTGAAGGTTTTCAATTTATCAACCAAACTGTTACTGCCGCCCATGGCCCCAGGTGTTTGCCCCAAATCAAAAAGACTGTGCGCAAGCCTTCAAGTCTTCAACCCATGACCTTCACACTCTTAGACACACAAATTAATGCTCCAAAAGTGGTATTAACATTCGACCCATGTAAAGACAATCAAAAGATTCCTAAGCAAAAAAGGAAACAGAGATGTGACCCTGAAATACCTCTGATAAGGAAACACTTAGGCCCCGTTTGGTACACGGAATTCAAACTATGGAATTGGAATTGAGGACTTCAATTCCAATTCTAGTGTTTGGTAGCACAAAAATTATGTAGATTTGGAATTGACAGTGCAAAAATGAATTGGAATTGGCAGAATTCAATTCTATGGAATTGAATCCCATGGAATTTCAATTTCAATTCAATTCCAATTCCATCAATTCCGTATACCAAACGGACCCTTAATGAAAAGACAAATAGGATACTCGGACAAGGATTAATTCCAGATGTCTGCTGCTCTCTTCGTCCTCACCACTATACTGCTATTGGAACTAGGCAATGAACACATTTGTAACATGTACTCTTGCACCATGTTTATTTTTTTCAAACTCATCTGGAACTACTTGATAGAATTGAGTAGTCCGCTTCTCAATATATTCATCATTTTCAGTAATGCTAGTCATCCTAATAATTAATGAAGAAATTAGGCAAATGGTTATATCACCATCTGTGGTCTATTTGATGACCAACTAAAAAATGAGCACTCCACAACATAACAGTACCATAATTTCATGCTCACATCGATAATCTAGAATAAAACAACAACAACAACAACAAACCCAGTAAAGTCCCACAAAAGTAGCATTTTGGGGATGTGTGTACGCAGACCTTACCCCTTCTAAAAATTAGAGACGCTATTTGCAAGAGACCTTTGGCTCAGAAACAAAAGTACGAACAAAGAAACCAATGAAGTACGAACAAAGCCAAAAAAAATAAAGCAAACAAGGCAACTCTAAGAACTGAACATAAAGCGCAAAGCAAAGCAGACACTGCAAACTAAGGCATTCAAACACACCTGAAAAGAACTACAAACAAACGAATTCACTTCTACCCTACTACTTCAATCCTAGATCCCTAGGTGTCCCGTTCAAGGGCCATGTCCTTGGTAAGATCCTGTACTCCTAGGTCATGTCTAATCACGTCAATCCAACTCTTTCTAGATCTACCTCTAGCCCTCTCAATGCCCTCTACCAAAAGCCTCTCGTTTCTCCTTAAAGGGGCCACATAGTCATAAACCCAAAAAATGTAGGCAAGGGATTTGAATTTACAGTTTTTTCACAACAAAAAATTGTGTACCAGTTCATACAAATCCTCCAGTATCTTTCTGGGAAGCTTGAGCTGCGAGACTTGAGGTAATACTGCATCCCATCTCCCACCATTAATATCAGAAATAAAAGTTTCCAGACTATCCACCGTGTTGAGAGAAACTTGGCACTCATTTTGTAATGTTTGAAAAGTTTGATGTAAAGAGTTCTCTTTGCAGAACTGAAGAACTATCTTAATAACGCTGCATAAGAAATGACATAGAGCATTGTATTTGTTAACACAATGACACAATCATGTACAGGTTCAAAAAGACAATACAATCAGAATATACTGGCTACACAGGCGAAAAAGAACAGATTCCTAAAGAGACTCCAGGGGGAAATAAATTGTACAAGGATTTTGAAGAGTGCACCACAAAAAGAGGTCTCTCTTATTCTACCGTAGGTTCTTATTTTGAAATGTATCTCTTGAACACAATTAAATTGTTATCCCATGACTTTGAAAGTACGCAACTACATAACGGAGTAATTTTTAGGTAAAAATATTGCATGCTGAATAAGTATGCCTTAAAGAGGATGATACTACATATCACTAAAGAATTTTCCGTCCAAGCGTACTTGCCTTGACTGCCTGACCATGAGCAGAATGGATTCCAAAATAGAAAATCCTTTTAGGCTTTTACTTAATTTGTGTCAATATCATAGGCATGGTGCGGAAAAAGTGGCATTACTTTTTAAGGATTGCCTTTTTTCCCAGTTCATGATAAGTTTGAAAATTTCCCTCATTCTCTTTCAATCTCACAGAGTGTTGTCAAATATACGGGTTGTCAAATATACACATTGTGCTGCGCACAAATATTGCATGCCAGCAACTTTACTTATTTGAACTTCCGTGCCTTTGGAAACTCATTGCCATGTAATATTACATCTTTAAATTTAATTTGAATTTACTTAAAAAAAAAAAGAAATATAAACACTGACAGATTTAATAGACGGGCCATTGCATATCCAATATTCCAGAAGAAGGCTCCAAATATTTTCAAAGTACTAAGAAATCTCCGCATTTAGATACAGCATGCAATAGCTCTTTTTTTTCTCTAGAGTTAAGCAAAAGTAAATCTTTTACACTAATAAAGCAAAGAACAAAATGAAAAGAATGTAGCTTCGATGCATCTTTCCAAAGCGTAAACATGTCTTTGTACTTATAAAAAAGAACATATACAGGGAAAAAGAGAGAAAACGTACTCTCGAGCTTCTATCTCTAGGGCGGAAGACATTGTTGATAGATAGAGAAAACACCGAAAGCAAACCCTAAATTGCGCTGGTCATGCTTTAGTTTCACTGAGAAACTCCTTGCTTCGCTTTTCTTTCTTCTGTTCGCCTGCGGCTGGTTCTGAACGCAAGGGAAAAAACCGGGCTGGGGTGCGTAAATGGGTCACGGGTCGGATCAATTGGCCTAGTCCATTTTTTCTCAGGTCTGTTTGGTATACGGAATTGATGGAATTGGAATTGAAATTCTCTAGTATTCAATTTCATAGAATTAGACCCGATCACGGGTCCGGGTATCCGGCCCGCCCGCAAAATAGAGGGCTTGGGCTTGACATTTTAGGATACGGGCCGGCTTGGGCCTTATAAATGGCGGCCCGAATATTTTATGCTCAAGCCCACAGGCCGACCCAGCCCGAATAAATTCAATATTTATTATTAATATAATTATAATAAAATAACAATAACAACATTAATAATAATAAAGAACAAACTTATTTCAAATTATTATAAACACACATACATACCTCTATGGATATATATAATAAAATGAATACATCTTTACTACTACGTATTGTTTGCAACGTATCAACAACAACAACAACCCAGTTGAATCCCACAACAGTAGGGTCTGGGGAGGGTGTGTGTACGCAGACCTTGCCCCTACTCGGAAGTAGGGAGGCTGTTTCCAAGAGACCCCCGGCTCCACCTGCACAAAAATATGGAAGAGAACACAGTATAGCACAGATAAGGCACCAAGTACAAGTAACAAGTACAAACAATAGCAAAAGATTCCCAACAAATACAACACACTACAAAACAACCTCTACAACACCGAGCTCCTATCCAGCTACTCTAATCCTAGTTCTCCAAAGGTTCCTATCTAGGGTCATATCCTCAGTCAGGTCGAGAAGTCCTAAATCCTGTCTTATCACCTCCTCCCAATTCTTCTTAGGTCTACCCCTTCCCATACTTCCCCCGAGAACTGTAGTCCTCTCGCATCTCCGTACAGGGGCGTCAGCATCCCGCCGTCTCACATGGCCAAGCCACCTCAACCTCGCTTCCCGCAACTTGTCTTCCACCGGTGCCATACCTACTTGACGTCGGATAACCTCATTCGAAATCCTATCCAACCTTGTCTTCCCGCACATCCATCGTAACATCCGCATCTCCGCCGCATGCAGACGACGCACATGAGTCTTCTTAACCGCCCAACACTCTGCCCCATATAACATAGCAGGT